CTTAACCTTTGTTTGGCATGAACATTTCAGATTTTTCAAAACCAGACACTGACAACATCAGACATCCTATATATTGCAGCCTGAGCTCTTCCATGACACTTGCCTCACCACCCAATTACAAAATTTTAGAAATTTAACTTCTCAAAAGTGGTCAAAAACAAGCCAAGTTCTTACTTTTTTTTTCTCCATTCAGTGAAGCTTCAGTCAAGTGTCCAGTTAAGTAACTTACCATGGCTAGCTTTTTTGTATGATTCTCGAGACTTACTCATACGAAGTCTGAGGTACCCCAGGAGTTCACTACTAGCAGTGACAAATTTTGAAGGAGGAACCTGGCACTATCCATACTGCTCACCTCCCACTTGGCACCTGCCTTCCCATGTCATCATACAGCCTTACCAAAATCTTTTATTTCAACAATAAGGTATTTTCAGTCCCATTGACCCCAGACCCCTAAGGACTGCAGTTGTGCCCGTTTTGACCATCTCTGCTTTAAGTAACCCCTCTCTTCTAGGCATTGCAGTGCCTGTTTTAACTGTGGTAGCTGATGGAAGCAGACTGATGGGATGAAAGAACAGTAGAGCAGTTTCCCCAGGAGGAAGCGTGGGACCCTAGGTACTCATTACCTTGAGAAACATGCAGCTGTGAGCAGAAACAAAGGCTGAGAGTTCAATTGAGGTGATTGAGTGGGGTTGGCTTGATCTCCAGAGCAAGCTTCTAAGAGAAGCAACGGGTTTGATCAGTGACTGAAGGTTAGAGGCTTTTCATGGAGTCATGATAATTAGCCAAGTTATTGGATTTCCTGCAAGGAAGATGGTGTGAAATTGTCTTGTCCTCTAAAGAGGAGCAATAATGGCCTCTTCTAGCCTAAAATTTAACCCTGGCTGAGAAGAATGAGTAACCACTGAGGCCAGGCGTACGTGCGTACTTGCACTCTCTCCCTTGTGCGCTCTGTCTCCACGTGCAGGCCTTCCCCAAGAGTCACGTTGTCAGCGCGCTGAAGACCATCTTTGAGAAGAACGTCATGGGCTTTGCAGGTGGCACCATGGGTGCTGTGAACGGCATGACGCCCCATGGGGTGCCCGACACATCCAGCGTGCAGTCCAAGGAGGTGTGGATCGGCGTGGTGTACGCCCTGGCTGCCACCATGATCCAGGAGGTGAGCGGGGCGCTCTGTGCCTTGAGGACAGCAAGCCCTGGCTCTGGGCCCTCTCCCAATGCTCCGTGCGGGTCCTGACGGCCGCCTTTCTTCCTTCTGCTGCAGGGCCTGGTGGAGGAAGGTTTCCACACGGCAGAGGGCTGCTACCGCACGGTTTGGGAGAAGCTGGGCATGGCCTTCCAGACGCCGGAGGCCTACTGCGAGAAGAAGGTGTTCCGCTCACTGGCCTACATGCGGCCCCTCAGCATCTGGAGCATGCAGCTGGCCCTGGAGAGCCGGGCTGGCCGTGCAGCCACTGCCCCCACGGCCACCCACACAAACGCCCTCCACCCCTGATCCCCGGAGCACCGTGGTGCCGAGCAGATGAGGGAACGCACCCTGGGATGGTGGCTTCAGCTGCAGGGCAGGGACCTGCCGGGGTGCCCTTGATAATGTTCACTGTTGTTTTCCTTCCCGATCTCCTCACCCAGCTCACAGATCATGCCCTTCCACCTGTGGCAGGGAGGGGGCCCCCAGACAGATGCTGAGCATGAGGGAGTCCAGAGGCACAAATTACGTCTGCTCACCCTCATCAGTGAAAGGAGAAGAGTGGGATAAGGGGATACTGCCAAGGGTTGTGCCTCCCTTTTCCTATCACTCAGGGCTCTGCCAGCCTGCAGGACAAGTGGCTTTCCCCAGCCTGAGCTGGTTCCATCTCCCAGGAGCAAACAAGACCTTTCTCCTTCAGGCTTTGTCTGGGAGAAGTCAGTGGGCCTGGTAAGGTAGGAGGGGCCTGCAGGGCTAATAAGTTTGTGTGATGTGTATTTGTGAATATTAAGTGAGGACCTTGGACTAGAGCAGGACGCGGCTGCCTGCGCTAGCTGTGGCTGCTCATTGCTGCTGTACGTAGATACGTGAATACTGTAGTTGTTCCTCTGCTTTGTAACTGCTGCAGGCAAACAGGCTCTCCTGGACTGACCCCCCCTAGCTCTGCCTGCACCTGGATTGAGCTCTGGG